ATATGTTCAGCATAAACATTCAATTTAGATGTTTATGCCGTTGTATATGTTCAGCATAAACATTCAATTTAGATGTTTATGCCGTTGTATATGTTCGGCATAAACATTCAATTTAGACGTTTATGCCGTTGTATATGTTCGGCATAAACATTCAACTTAGATGTTTATGCCGTTGTATATGTTCTGCATAAACATTCAACTTGGACATAGGCGTACCGGGCGGGGGGGCGTGGGGGGCGGTACCGCCATTTTTTTGGGCAGTCGGGCAATATTCGGTCAACAGTCGGGCAATTTTGGTTTGAAATAAAAATAAACGGGACAAATTCTGTCAATTTTGTCGGAAATTAAGTCAATTTTTTGGTCGATTTTGTGTTTTTGGAAAATTTGAGTGATTTTTTGAAAAATTTTGGTACGTCCAGAAAAAATTTTTGACCCCTAAAATGGTACACTGACCGAAATTTTTTTGGCGACGGTGGGGGGAAGGTCGCCGAAACAATATTTCCGGGAAAAATTTTTGGGTACTAGTCGGGCAAAATCCCGAAAAGTCGGGCAAATTTGTTTCCGCCCCCCTAATTTTTTCCTTCCGGTACGCCCATGGTTATATTACATATGTAATCAACGTATTTTCAGTTCTAAATGTTGTATTTCGGCTGATGAGAAAGATCGTCACATGACTCAATCTTTACGACCGTTACCATAGTGATGGAACGAAATTTTAACCAAGAGTAAAATATTTTGCTAAATCTGACATGAAGTACATGAAGTACATGAGGTACATTACATTCATTGAACTAAAAATAACTGGAACGTTACGTTCAGTAAACTGCGCATGCAAATTTTGAAGCCAAAATTTGACTCCTAGGAAGCCAGTTTTGACTCCCAGACACGCACTTCCACGCGTGTTTCTACTGCGCGATTTACTCGCGAGACAATGCAGGGGGCGATCGAAGCATGCCGTTTTGAACGTTTTCATGGGAAGATGCGAATCGAAAGGGAAACGGAGCTTTTATTTTAAAACGGGCCTTTTAAAGCCTGTGTACGACCTTGTATAAATTAGCTTCAAACTTCCGCTTGAACGTAGCGTTCCAGTTATTTTTAGTTCAATGATTACATTCAGTATGCGGCTGAGCTTAAATAATTAGTACTGCGGGCTCGTATGTTTCTTCGCGAACAAAAAATGGCTGGCAATTTATCGATGAATGATGTGGCAGATTCTTGGAAGAAATTCGCAAAAATGTCAGTGACCACTTTCTCCAGAGCTAAGCAGGTAAGTATTCGGAATTTTTTATATCCGTAACTATCCAATTTCGTAATTAATCGTCTCGTTGTTGTTGTATTTAGCTCACAGAAGAGAAATTAAATCGTGCTGAAAAAACTGAATTTGACGCACACTTCGAGAATTTGGTCGCTAGGGCCGAGAAAACGCGAGATTGCACGGCAAAAATTTCGGCTCGAACTTCGTCTCTTATTCAGCCAAATCCTAGTAAGTTTATAGTATCGTTTTGGGGAGATTTTTCGGGGCGGATTTAATTATTAGGCAAATATCAATATCTATTTTTGAAAGTACGTATAAATTTTAATAAAAAACAATATATTATATATGTTTATGAATGCTAAATAGACTAATGTATGTTATATATGTGTCAATCAGTTTGAAACTTTGCCCCTCCCCCCTCAATTTGGCTTGATTGATAAAGCTCTGCACTGATTTGGAAGGTAGCCCAGTGTGGAAAGTTTGTATCGCGCGGCGGATATCTCCGGCGCGCAATTTTGATGCTTTCTATATATTTACTATTAAATTTTCGAAATCTCCGGCGCGCAATTTCCAAACTTTCCAGTCTGGTAGCTTCCTTCCAGACTGGAAAGTTTGGAAATTGCGCGCCGGAGATTTCGAAAATTTAATAGTAAATATATAGAAAGCATCAAAATTGCGCGCCGGAGATATCCGCCGCGCGATACAAACTTTCCACACTGGGGTAGCTATTATAATTGCATGAAATCATTGATTGTTTTTACATTTTTAAACTCTATGGGTGGTGATGTCACAGAATACTATACAGAAGTCCATCTCCATTGTTTTTTGCATAAGCATGATTTGTCACAGTACCGTAAACAGAAGCAGTCCCCCCCCTGGAAATACTCAAAATGGCACACATCCAGGGGGGTGACTGCTTCTGTTTACGGTACTTGCTGAGTGACGAATCATGACGAATAGCACTTACGCAAAAAACAATGGAGATGGACTTCTGTATAGTATTCTGTGCATTCTCGTACCCAGAGCCCTTCTTACGCGCGGTGCAACGAGGGGCTCTGGCCAAATCCATATCCGAACTGGCATCTGATTGGCTAGTTCTAACACAGGATATTGTTTTCTTACCATGTTTTTCTGGTATCCGGTTATGGATTTGGCCAGAGCCCCTCGTTGCACTGCGCATAAGAAGGGCTCTGGGTACGAGAATGTATTCTGTGGTGATGTTTCGAATTGATCAACACATATTTATGATGCTGTGTTCAAAATGTTAGAGGCTATTTTTATTGCAACTTGCAACATTTGACAGAGAGCTATGTCATTTACAGATGCTCGTCTGGAAGACTTTATGTATCAGAAATTTGATGGCAGAAAGAAAGAAAGGCAGACCAATTATGAATTGTTAGGCCAGTGCATGTTTGATGCCGGGAATGAGCTGGGGCCTGGGACTGCTTATGGTAAGTCACAGGGTTAAATCAAGGACAAGTACTGTAGGACAAGACAGACGAAAAAACGTGGATTGGATCATTCCAGAAAAGATCCATACTCCCAAATTTCTGCCGTCCGGAGGGGGAGGGGAGAAAAAATTGTTTCTGATAATAGTAAATGTATTAGGATATCCGAAGGGGGTGGAGGGTTAACTTCCTATTTCCCTGGCCTTGGACAGTTAATTTGAACAGTCATTTTATTTTTGGTTTTCAAGGCTCGCTTGCCTTTATAAATACAAAAATGCCACAGCTTGGGATACACACGAGAACTTGTTTCTGGAAGGTGTTTGTTACTTTGTACTTATTCTATATATCCAATTAAGGTGGTTCACTTGTGGAATGTGGTAAATCATTAAGAAAGATTGGGCAAGCTGAACGAGACCTACTTGAGAAAACTGTTTCAAGATTTATGAATCCGCTTGAGAATTTCCTTGAAACTGACATTAAAACGATCATGGTTAGTTCTTAGATCTTTTTAAAAAGCTTCTAGTTATTTTCATATCTTATGTATGATGATTGTTAGAATTGATTATTGTTTTTAGAATATTAATTGTCATAAATGCAAAAACGTTTGATTTATTTTCAACTAATATAACAGAAAGAAAAGCGAGTGCTTTTGGCCAAAAGACTCGATCTAGATGCAAGCAGGACAAGATTGAAAAAGGCAGAAAACCAATCACCTGAAAAAGTTCAACAAGTATGTTCTTTGTTTAACCCATTGAATGGCATCACTCTTTCCTTGGCAAGTAAAATTATAGAGTAGGCCAACATCGTTGAGACCGTCATAAAATGTTTACGTATGTGTTATAATAATTTTACAGCTTGAAGCTGACTTGAGAGTTGCCCAAGCAGAGTTTGACAGACAATATGAAGTGACAAAGTTGTTGTTAGATGGTGTTACTACAGCTCAGGTATGCTGTTATCCACAATTCAAAACTGGTATCGTCAGCATACTAGGATATTGCAAATCTCAAACACTGAGATATGTGGACTTATTACGTTTTTAAAATCTTTTCGGGCAGTTCAGTTTCGTTTTGATTTCAGACGCTGTAAATCGTCAAAACATGAGAATAGAAACAGATGAATTTCAGACATTAATTTCTTACCTTTTTTAACAGAATAGTCATCTTATTGCACTCCAAAGTTTTGTTGAGGCTCAAGCACAATACTTTGACCAATGTCATAAAACCATGGTGGAATTACAAAGACATATTCAAAGGTAAGCCACCATGATCTAAAATAACTTAGAACTTTTGTGCTGTATGATGCGACATTTATTTCAATTAATGACATTGAATAAATCGGGACACATCCGCAGTGGTGAATTTCACTTCCAAAAACGGACATGTTTTAAAATTTTATAGCCAATGGGAGTGCTAGTGGTATCAGAAAATCAAAACAAATTGTATTTGTCATTTGACTACATCAATAATATCTATCCCCAATACCATATTTTTTTCAACAGGGAAATAATGTTATCCAGATATTGTGCTATGAACAGCTGTTTTGTGACTGGTTATCGTTAACAATAATTTTCGTAAGTCTCATCAATTTTCTCCAAACTTTTTATTTATTTTTCTAGTGGCACTGGCGCTACAGGCCGCAGTTCATCATCCTTTGCCAGTATGAGCAAAGCGCCGCCATATAATATTTCTAAACCTTCTACAACATTGGACATCCACACAGTCACTAAACCTTCTGTGACTCACAAAGCCAAAGTATTGTACGACTACGATGCGGCCGAAGATGATGAACTGTCCTTATTGGCTGATGAGGTAAGTCGAGATCCCTGCCTGTCACATGCGGCTAGCGCACTGCACCTTACTGGTGAGTTAATACCAGAGCTTGAAATTTTCTGCAATATCCAATCGGATATGAACTTGAAATCTGGTATGAACCCAGAACCAGCACATGTTGTGGTCACCACGCTTGCCTTTGAAGCTGGGAGACCCAGGTTCAATCCTTGGTCAGACCTCTACTCAAGGTCTTAAAATAATTGAGGAGAGAGAGCTACCTTTACATTGAAATCGGTAAAAGGTTAGACTTTTGTGTCTTCTCGGATAAGGACATTAAATTGTGTGTACCTTGGATCCAGGCTTTTAGCCAGGGTCATGAAAGAGGGCGTCCAATTTTGGTACAATGATACTTCTACAGTAAAGGGGGGGTCAAGAAAATGTTCCTCTGGAAAACCTTTGAAGTTTACGTTACTTTATATCAGTATCTGTTTCAAGCTCGTTCGAAATTGGCTTTGTGAATACTGAGTTTGTGCCGCTATGCTTCTTTACTGAACTACGACATTTTCATTCAGCCAGGTACAGCATCAAATTGATCAAAATGTCAAATGTATAATAATAATGAGAACTGAAGCTATTTCGTTTCAGATATATTAATGTACTTCGGGAAATAATTGAAAATAATTTCCCTTTTTCCCCCAGAATTTGGGCGTCCAAAGGCATCCATGTTTTGGTCTAGGGGCATCCCAGGATGGCTGGATGCCCTTCTGGCTAAAAGCCTCAATAAAACTCAATGAACTATAAACTAATATCTATAGTATGGTATAGTGTATAATGGTATGGTATAATGTGATATGGTATGATATGGTGTTGTATAAATAGAGAATAATACATGGGTGCGCGGAAATACCAGATTTATTTCAAGTGTTGAATTATAGTTTCTCGCTGGCTGAAGTATGAAAGAAGCGAGAAACGGGTTCTCACACTGGGGGGCCCCGGGCGAGGTGCAATGCCCTTATATGGGCATGCGCCTCGAGATAGAGCATGTTTTGTCTTTTGCCGCAAGTGTGGTAGTTTGTGCCTTAAAACGCTCTTTAAAAAACCTGAAATATTTTATCGTGAAGATGTCCAAGACCCGTTCTTCTGCGCTCCGACGCTTGGAAAGCCACAATAAGAGTCCTCATGATGGGGATTTCGAAGGAGAACTTAATAACAGCAGACGAGAATCGCGGGAAAGCGAGAGACGTAAGGAACGACATCGTTCGCAAAGCCATTCTTCTCGTCAAAGTCGTTCCCGCCAACGCTCGCGAAGCAACGATCGAGAGGAAACGATACGCGGTTGGGCCCAGCAGCTATTAAACGGACAGAGAGAGTCTGATCAGCGACTTAAGACGCTGGAAAAACAGCTCAAAGATACGAACGCCAAGCAATCGTATGCACGCAAGCGGGAACACTCGCCCACACCAGAATTTAAATACAAGCGCAACAAAGTTCAGTACGAGCTGAATAAAAGCATTTTGGGCAAGATCGAAACAGCTTTAGACGCGTCTGACGACGAAGAACGTAGTGGAGCCCTTGACGAAGGTAGGAAAATGTTGATAGAACGCAATAAACATATTAAACTAGCCGAAAAATACGGATGGGAGGCTGTTGATTGTTATATCGATGAACCGCTCGCGAGCGACTCAGATGACGACAAAAAGATAAGGCGTGCGATTAAGGAGAGTAAAGTTCTAAAAGAAGAAAAACGTAGAGCTGCGACAGCATCTAGATTGCCAGTCAACAGCTCCCAATCCAAAGTAGGCACTCAACCGCAGAGAATTCCCAACGAGAGCAATTTTCGCCAAGTCATCAAAAGGTCCCCTGGCTCGCTGCCAGCTCAGGACACCACGTGTTTTCGTTGCGGACGAAAAGGCCATTATGCCCGTTACTGCAGATCTCTCGTCGCCCTTAACGACTCCCCTCGCCCTACGAATAACTAGTAAAGATTGCGCCGAACAGACAGCGACCGAGCTCGAAACGGTTAATGATTTAGGCTAAATGTGAACATGCTATTAGACAATGTGCATGAAGCGCCTGACCAATGTGTCAAGGGACGTTTAAAAGAAAAGGTTGAATTTTGAAAGCACATTGGCGCTTCACGTTGGGTTTTAACAGTTATTCGCGACGGATACGCGTTACCTTTTGTTGATCTACCTCAAAGACACATGTCCAAGAATCACATGTCGGCATACGAAATGCTAAATTCGTTGATTCGGAAATTGAGAAATTATTAAGTTCAGGTTGTGTCAAGCAAGTGTCAAGTGACCAAGTGCATGTAATTTCGCCTCTCAGCGTGGCGTCAAATAATGGGAAAGACACTTATTTTAGATTTACGTTATATCAACAGTTGTTTAAGAGTTTTAAAGTTTAAATACGAGGATCTGAGGACTTCAAAGACATATTTCGACCTGGGGACTATATATTCAAGTTTGATTATAAGTCAGGGTATCACCATATTGATATTTTGCCGGAACATTGGCAGTACCTGGGTTTCTCCTGGGGAACAGAAAATTCTAAACGGTTTTTCGTTTTTACTGTTCTGCCATTTGGACTAGCCACAGCACCATATGTGTTCACACAAGTGCAAAAGGCTTTACTGAAGTTTTGGCGATTACAAGGGATTCGCATATTTACATATTTGGACGACGGGATTGGGGGACATTCATCAGCCCAGCAAGCAGCAGCCGTGTCGGAAAAAGTAAAAAGTGATATAGAACTAAGTTGGTTTCTTTGGCATCCAGATAAAAGTGTCTGGGAGCCAACACAGTGCGAAGAAGTGCTGGGATTTTTTGTTAACCGTGTGGATGGTTATTTTAGAGTGCCTGAGCGACGGATTGTTAAACTAAATAATCAGTTGCACACTATACAAGTCAATAACTATAAACAACAGCTTATGGCATAGCCAAGCTCACTGGTACAATTATATCAATGGGTTTAGCACTAGGGCCCATAGCTCGGGTATGGACACGGGGGCTCTATCGTAACGAGTTCTCGCACTTAAAGTTTGTTTTAATAATAATTACAAAACATAGTGAAGCTATTCATCTAGATGGATTCTGGAAGAAGTAACAGCTTGTGGCTAAATTACATACTGTATGTATGTGCCTGTGAGAGGCGTTTATTTGTGAGAATAATTATTGGCAAACTGTATTTGCTTACCTAGGGTACTATGCTTGTGAGAAGCTCAACAGCCTGTGAGAGGCACAACTGCCTGTTAGAGGCATGACTACCTGTGAGAGGAACAACAGCTTAGGCAATGCAGCACTGCCTGTGGAGGCTTATAGTGTACCTACAGTACCTGTGAGAGGGCATAAACATTGCCTGTGAGAGGCTTATAGTGTACCTACAGTACCTGTGAGAGGGCATACACATTGCCTGTGAGAGGCTTATAGTGTACCTACAGTACCTGTGAGAGGGCATATACACATAGTAAACCTGGAATTGACTTACATAGCCATATTAATGATATTGTGTCTTGATTCATAGAGGTTACTACACGAACGGCACCTGCCAGAGGTTTCCACCATGACCCTGAATTGAATAGAGATATACCGAAGATCATAATGCAAGGTCGGGCACCGCAGACAGTCAAGAAATACTTAAATACCTTCCAGCAGTGGAAGAAGTGGGCAAAGAGAAAAGGTCTCCATGCCCTGCCTGCATCAGGGTATGAATTTGCTTTGTATATTGCTTACCTGCTCAGAAAGGCCAAGTCAGTGTCAATAATTCATGCAGCAGTTTACGGGGTAGCATGGGCACATAAGAAAGTAGCTGCAGTATCACCGACAGAGCACCCTTTAGTTAAACAAATGGTTGAGGCAGCAAAAAGAATAATCGGTATTGCCCCAAAAAAACAGGAAGCAACTACTAGGCATAGATCATATAAAGAAAGTTGTTCGTAAATTTGGTGGTGGTGGAGACCTGAGTAAGCTGCAGATTACACGTTTAATAACATTGGGTTATAGTGGTTTTTTGCGATGGGATGATTTGGCAAAGCTCAAAAAACAGGATGTGTTATTTTACGAAGATCATATGCGGATTTTTCTTCAAAAGGGAAAAAATGATCAATATCGTGAGGGTTCATGGATTTTTATAGCCAGCACAGGCAATTGCACATGTCCAGTAAAGTTGATGAAAGAGTTTTTTTGACAGGGCAAACATCAGCCGAGTGATTTTGTGTTCAGGAAGGTGTCGCATACAGTTAACGGTATGTCACTGAGATCCCAAGCAATGACGTATTCGCGGGCAAAGGAATTGTTCTCGAAGCAACTAAAGGGGCTCGGGTTGGATCCATCTAAATATGGTTTACTGACATAGTCTTCGCTCGGGCGGTACCACAGAGGCAGCAGCTTGGGGAGTCCCAGATCGGCTGATTCAAAGGCATGGCGGTTGGCGCTCTGAAGTGTCCAAGAACATGTACATTCAGGAAACGAAAAATGCACTTTTACGTGTATCAAAAAGCTTAGGACTGTAAACAGTGTAGGATAAGGAACTGTTAAAATCATAAATACGTGCTACTCTATATGTTGTCATTGCGGTGGCAGACTACACGGCAACCCAGTGTGAGAATTATAGTTTCTCGCTGGCTGAAGTATGAAAGAAGCGAGAAACGGGTTCTCACACTGGGGGCCCCCGGGCGAGGTGCAATGCCCTTATATGGGCATGCGCCTCGAGATAGAGCATGTTTTGTCTTTTGCCGCAAGTGTGGTAGTTCACGCCCGCCCACCCTTGTGGTTCGAGACATTGTTTAGGGTTATTAATATTGGGTCTATATGTTAATTTTGTGTATGAAAACAATTGTTAATAAATAAAGGCACTGCTACTTTTGCGGTGGCAGACTACACGGCAACCCAGTGTGAGAACATGATATCTCACGAGTGAGCGTAGCGAAACGAGTGAGATATCATGTTCAACACGAGAAATAAATCTGGTATTTCCAAGCACCCATGTATTTTTCTGTTTATTATATAAACAAAATACAGTGAAAAACAATAAAACGTCTGTGGCAATGCGTTTTACAACAAATGATATTTCCACACGTAAAAATATCGTATTTTTTACGTGTGTTTAAATACGATTTTTCTCAGTGGCCAAAAACTGTATATAACACTTATGTTTATATAATAATATGGTATATTTATATTAACTGCACGAAAGAGAATCTATGGTATGGTATTATGTGCTATGGTATGTGCTATGGTATCATGTGCTATGGTATCAGTGTGTAGTGCATAATGGTACGGTATTGTATGGTATGGTATGGTATGATGTAATGTGGTACTGTACTGTGTGACATGATACGCTATGATATTGTATAATATGATATGGTGTTGTATAATATGGTATATTTATGTTAACTGCACAAAAGAGAGAGTGCTATTGTATGGTATTGTATGGTATGATGTAGTGTGGTACTATACTGTATGACATGGTACGCTATAATATTGTATGGTACAATATGGTATATTTATATTAACTGCACAAAAGTTCACTCATTTTGCTTACTTTGTGATACTTGAAACGAATAGTCCATAAATTCTGTCCACTATAAAACAATAATAAAACATCGCTTTCATTTCTTGTAGGTGATAATAGTGTACACTATACCAGGTCTGGACAGCGACTGGATGATTGCAGAACGTGGCTCCCAGAAAGGACGGGTACCTATAACATATATTGAACTTTTGCCTTGAACTTTATATTAATATTTACATCATACTTATTAACAATTATTGCATACGTATGTAGGAGGGAAAAGCACGATAGTTCGCTAGAAATATTTCTCAAACTCGTCAACAATTCATGAACAGTATATCACGCCTTTCAAAATTGAAGAGTGTTGATATATCTCTATAGTCAGTAAAGATTTACACAAAAAGACAAGTCAGATCCAGACTATTTCACATGTCTAAATTAGCCAACCATATTACTTTATTTTGCTCACATGATAATACTAGATACCTGATGAAGTATATTAATCCAGTCCTAGAACTGAATCAAAATTAATTCAGTCCTTCGCATTTCGGTTCGCCTCGGACTTGATCAAATTGCGCGGACTTGAAATCTAGTTCAGCCCTCACACTCGGATTTGCCGGAAATATTCCTTTAAAGCAGTGTAGATTATAACGGTCGGCAGTCGGCTATTTGCCGAACAAAAAGACCGAATGGCCGATCAATTGACCATTTGCGTAATAGACTAAATTTTGAACTAAACAAGTCTAGACACAAATTTTATCACAGCTTGAAGGAGCATCACAAAATTAGTAATATTCCAAAGTTTCGTTGCAAAATGTTGTAAAATGCAGAAAATATAGCCTTGCGAAATTTGCAATTTTCAGTCATTTTAGATTACAAACGGGACATTGACAGCCCCAGACCCTTCGAGGCTGTCAATTTCCGGTTTGTAATCTAAAATTACTGAAAATTGCAAATTTCGCAAGGCTATATTTTCCGCATTTTACAACATTTTGCAACGAAACTTTGCAATATTACTAATTTTGTGATGCTCTTTCAAGCTGTTATGAAATTCTTGTTGAGATCAAAATTTAGTCTATTACGCAAATGGTCAATTTCATTCTGCACGGACATTTTGACCGATCAAATAAAATAGACAATGTTCATTTAAATTGAAGGTAGCTTATATGTAAAAAGTACTGTTTGCATACTATACCTACTGTACCATGCAATCAATAAATATTAGGATGAAAATTTGAAAAAAGCATTCAGAGGAAACATTGTCATCGAGCTTCTCTTTTAGCAAATACTCTCTCAAGTGACCGAATCTCGATAGTAAGTCTATAGCGTTTCCAATACTTACTACTTACAAAAAGATGTTTTATTTTTTCGTAAAAATGGTTGAAATAGTTGGCCGACCATTCTTTGCCAATGTCCGAGCAACAGTCTTGTTGATCGGACATTTGTCAGACCTAAGCAAAAACGTTATAATCCACACTGCGAGTCAATATAATATAATCCCACAGAGTGTCAATATATCTCTACAGTCAGTAAAGACTGATCTACATACAGCACGCAAAAAACAAGATGGATCTAGACTATTTCACATTTTTTGAACGGAGCCACGGAGCAATCATATTTACCAACATCCAAAAAAATTCAACGAACCGGAAAATTGACAAGTTTGAGAAATATTTTGAAAAGTGTATGCTGAAATATTGATATATGAATTGTACTCTGGGGAATGTGTAGAAATTGGAAGTAATTGTTAAATTATATTTAATAGAGCTCATTGTTTCGGTACCAATGACCATATAAAGAGCTGTGGGTACAGCACACGATTGACAATTTCCTATTTTGTAAGGCCTATGTAATTCCTAGTTTTCAACTATCAACTTGTAATGAAATATTAAATCACAAACTTATTTAATCTCATCGTCATGTTACTGCGTTTTATTTGCATAACTGCGTACGATATATGCGCATGATAAGGGCTGGGCATAATTTAGCAGGTGGGGTGGGGAGGTTTTTGTTTGAGTTGATATAATGAAACGTTTGAAAAAACTAAAGTTTTATATATGACTATGTATTGGTATAATATAAATTCTAGTATTTGATTTGAAGCGCAACTAGAAAATTAGAAAATTTAAAGTGTAATTAAAAAATTTATTGAATGCAGGGTTTAGTAGTAGGTAGGTACATTTTTACTGACACTAGCAAGAGAGAGAGAGGGGGGGGGGCATTATTTTTCCGGGTTATGGCAAAGCAGGATCACAAAATATCATTCCTTAAAATTTTGAATTACACCTCTCCACCCCCCTCCCCCTGATAAATTATGACCAGCCCTAAATAAGCATGAGTAATCATGCTTTGAATAGGGATGACGGTCCTTATTTGCCATGCAGAAGAATATATCCATCTTGTTGACAGATGACGTCATCCCATTGGTACTTCAGATCACTCCTGAAGAAGATACTAGACTGGAGTGTCGTCACATGATCCAGGGCTTGAAATAGCGGTCTGCCAATGGCCAAATGCAGGCCATATTTTAGAAATGACAGGCAAAAACAAATTTGAACTGCCAAGGCCAAGTCAAAAAAAATGGCGGATGAAATTCTATAGATACATTTCATCTCATTTGCTTACCACAACTCATATATACTGGACATTTAGTTGACTAAATACGTTTATATTTGAAATGTAAATCCAAGTTTACTGTAGTAAAATAGACAAGTTTAAAAACAATAAAAATGCATATCATGAAAACAATGATTTTTACAATATGACTCGTTATAAGACATCGCCATTTTGGCAGTTCAATGAATAAAAATGGCAGGCTAAAATTTATTTCACCTGCCAAAAAATTTTAGACTGGCAGGCCATATTCTTTCTCTACATTGAAAGCCCTGACCCATGGGTATATACGAAGCCACGCGTTGCGCTCACACCCCTGATGAAGACGGAAGAGGTTAGAGGTTATTTCGCTGGCCTCAGAGTGACAAAACGTAACAAAGCAACGGTTTTACTAACACTAACCCTATTCCAAACACTAACCCTAGCTACTCCAAGTTTGTTTCTAAAACCAATCTTGAAGAAAAAGGTTTTGACGAAATGTCATTCTGCGGTCAGCGAACTTTCCCGATGAAGACGCCAGACTGGAGTGTCGTCATATGTGACGTCAAACTACTTAACCGATGACGCAAAATATTGCCATATCCGGCGTTCGGGTGATCTGAATTTTTCCTATGAATATTTTTTTTTATTTGCCCATATAAAGCTAAATATATTTACAATCTATATTTTTACAAACATTAGGGGCTAGGAACCTTTATGAAACCCTATCAGGCTTTTATTCAAAGGCCCCTAGTTTAACAATATTAATTATTATATAAAAATAGTTAAAGCTTGTTCAATCTTGTCAAAGACAAAGTAAGAGTATTTACAAATATAGTGATTTGAATATAAATATACAAAAGAGTTTATTATGTGAGATTACAAATGAAAGCCGTTAGGTATATTCCAAGAAAAGGCTTTTCAACTTTTTCTTAAAAGTAGAATAAAACATAGTATTGCTAGTTCCTTTATCAAGAGAGTTCCATATTTTAACTCCCTTGTTAACAATAGTATGTTTTGCATAATTAGTTCTACTATAATTGACATGCAATTTGTTAGAATTCCGAGTATTGTAATGATGCACTTCATTGTTTTGTATGAAGTAGTCATTAACAAATTCAGGTAGATTTTGTAAATGTTTAAAACGGTACACAAATAAACAACTTAAATAGTCATTAATCTTAAAGATATTCAAGATTTTCAATTTTTGAAACAATGGTTCAGTGTGTTCAAGATAAGATTTAAAGTTCATCAATCTGATAATTTTTTTCTGTAAATTCAGTATTTTTAGCAGCCTTGTTGGGTACGTGTTACCCCATATTAAATTCCCATAAGTAAGATATGGATAAACTAATGCATAATAAAGTACATTTAATGTATTTTTGTTGGTATAATGTCGTATTTTTGCAATCAACGCCGATGCTTTAATAATATTTTTGACAACTGAGTTTATATGGTTTTTCCATGTTAGTTCTTGATCTATTATTACACCTAGAAATTTGACAGCAGTAGCCTGATGTATAATGTTATTGTTAAGTTGAATATTAGTATCAGTGTCACATTTTTTATTTTTTGATTTAAAAATGACGTACTTAGTTTTTTTAGTATTTATTGATAATTTATTGGCGTTTAGCCATTTAGTCACTTCATTCATTTCTTTTTGCATAACATGCATTAAAGATTTGAGGCATTTGTCAGAGTAAAACGCATTTGTGTCATCGGCATACATAACAAAAGAAATTATTTCACTACAGTTCTCAATGTCATTAATATATAACAGAAAAAGTAGAGGCCCAAGAATCGAGCCTTGCGGAACTCCTGAAGATATTGTCATCTTACTTGACTTATGATCACGAAACTTAAGAATTTGCGTTCTTTCATGTAAGTAGTTTTCAAACCATTTTAAACAATTTCCTCTTATACCATAGTGTTCTAGTTTTTTTAGAAGAATTTTATGGTTAACTGTGTCAAAAGCCTTAGATAGATCAAGGAAAATACCGATTGTGTATTTTCCTTCATCTATGGCCTTTGAGATTTTGTCAGTCAATTCAATAATAGCATGTTCAGTGGAGCGATTTTTCCTGAAACCATACTGGTGTTTAGATAAAATGTTTTGTTTTTCAATATATGAAATCAGTCTTTTGTACATTACTTTTTCAAGCAATTTCGAAAAACATGTGAGAACTGAAATTGGCCTATAATTTTCAAATAGACATTTTTCATTTGCTTTAAAAATAGGAGTAACAAGAGCTATTTTTAGTGTATTCGGTATTAATCCAGTTTCAAAAGTTAAATTGAAAATATGTGCAAGAGGTTTGCAAATCTCTTGTTTAATT